CACACACACACACACACACACACACACACACACACACACACACACACACACACACACACACACACAATTGATGAATGTTGACAACTTACATTGTTGGTGTACTCATTAAAGCCTCTCACTCTGTGCACAAAATAAACTTCGTCATCAGTGATGAAAAGTCAGACGTGGCTCTTTCATTCTGTTTCGTGTCTTCCATTTTAAACTGGACTACCTCGGTTCGGCTTGTTGATTTCACTCTCATTTGCGTTATTAGCAGGTAGCCAACAATTCCTGCCGTCTGCTTTCAAATAACTTACTAGCCAATTAGTTACATAGTGGACCACGTTTCTGCTTGGTGTGAATTGATCCTTCAACCTTGGCGAGTGGTTTGTTTATAATTATTGTCTCTATTCTGCATCTTTTGTGGCATTACTACTGCTGTCATCGCCTCTCCTTTGGTTCCTTGTATAAGTAAGGTGCAAATGAACTCCTCCTTTTCAGTTAATTGAACTAATACAAGTCTAAAACTGTGTTGTTGCCAGCTCTCTTACTAAATTATCTAAGTAGATACCACTGAGCATCATGTGATGCTGCAGGTAGCTGAACAGTTATTGATGTACGAAGCTTCAGAAAGTGGAAAAACACAAGAGTTGAGAATAACAGAAGCAACTGATGGAACTATTTTTTTGGTATTCCCCCAAACGAGACTTGGTTTCAAAGCTCCAGCTCCAATATAGCTTAGTCTCAAAGTAATCACAATTGCCAAAAAACATGAAGACTGAAAACAAATTAATTCCCTCTCTACAGCGCACATTGTTACTCAAAGGATTTGGGTGGGTGGCGATCCAGCCTAAGGACTCTCATGCAGACACATGAACAATATGGTGATGTGGGCACGACAAAACTACGCCTTCTGATGCCTCAATGTGTGCATCTGCCCTGTGGCAGACACCCTATCAAATACATTGTATAGCTAGAGACTGAGAACTGTGTCAAGTTTTAAGGTTATACTCGTGTAACAAAAGATGCTGATTTGATACAATCCATCTGGAATGTGACCCTGATTGTGTTAATCCCACTGAGGAAGTTGTTCTGAAGAGAGGAAGTCCGTTTACTCAACTGCTGATGGCACTTTAATTTCTCCCAATGTTGAATATAAATAGGTGATATGGATAACATTTATTATGGTATATGTCATGTTTTACTTCATTATAGATATAAATTGCGACATGGACACATTTTTGAAAATTCAAGTTTATATTAATCATAATTACCAGATGGGGCAGCCTCTTTTTGACTCAGCCAATACATTAAATATTTGACAAATCAAGGTACGTAATCAAAACTGTATATCATGCATGACCGTCTCCTAGAGCTTGGTAATTTCAGTCAGAGATCAGCTATTTTTTAATTTACATGGCTTGTATTGACTTAAATGGAGGAGGCCTTTCTCCATTGTGATAAATTGTGCTTCTTTTTTACCAGCTTTGAGATGATTTCCTACCGCCCACTGAGTTCGTACTTTCTAAACGTAAATTTAATGGACAGATCTTCGACTGAATGTCTGATGGTGATATGTAGCATGCGTATCTGATTCCTGGATCAGTGTTATTCATCAGATAGATGTTGTAAATGTAAATATGCAATGTATGCCACTGGGGCATATTGGAACTAATTCTGTCACTCTGAGGTGAAAAGTATAAATTAAAAAGCACCTAAAGGGATAAAGCTGTATGGTCTTTCTATGCAAGGCTATAATAAAGCTTGACAGGATTATCAATAAATCACCCTCTATGATAATAGAACAGTGATTTGGGTAGCAAATAAATGGCTGTCAGAAAATTAAAAAGCCTTTGGGGTAAACTGAAAAAGACCATCAGACCAGAACTTCTAATCTACATACGAGAGGACCAGTCATTCTGTCATATATCCCCACTCACTCCCACCCGGACCCACGCAGCGCTACTGACTGACTGACAGCAGTGACGCCACCGTAATTTGATGCGGCAGGACTCTGGCAGCCTCATCACACACACGCAGAGGGATGTGGGTCGCTCAGCACTCACAGATGGCATTTATATGATAATTCTAACCACTTCCAGACACCCATGAGCTTTCACACTGGACTCGATTGGATCCAAATGCATTTTAGTAACCATCTGCAAGGAAGGGAGTGTGTCAGTGAAAGCAGAGTGATGGACTGGATGGAAGGGATATAGGCAATTTGCTCATACATTACCAAACACACTTTTCCATGGTAGTGACGAGTTCTAAAGAAAAAATGGTTAAGTAAGAGTGGAAGAGAACATGGTGGTGGATGCTTACTTTAAAAAGTAGACAGTTGGTTGATGTCTGCAAGTGGAGATAAAGAGAAGTACATGTCAATTAAATGAATAGTTGTTTGTTAATTAAGAAACACACTTATTTGCTTTCTTGCAGAGAGTTAGATGAGAAGATCAATACCTCGTGTCTGTGTGTTCAGTTCAGTATGGAGCTAGATCCATGAGATAAATTGCTCGGCTTGAATGGTTATTTTTTTCCATTAATATCAAAATGATGAGGATCTGTACCAAACCCTTTTTTTCTGTCTGTCCAAAGAGCCAGATATTTCCCTCAGGAGAAGGTGGACTAAAAGAGTGACTATAGAGTGAATATACATCACATTTTCCAAGTGATCAGAAACATGACTTTAAACGAATGCTCTGTGTCTGCTGGACGTGTTTAAATGCAGTTATTCAGCTCACAACTTTATCGACGATTGTGTTTACAACTTGTTTCAGCTGCCCCTGAGTCGCCACAAAATATTGCCGGCTTAAGGTACAATGATGACAAAAGACAGGAACATAACAACACTGCAGTTGTCTATTCTGTAATCATAGAGGAGGAACGACAAAAACATTTTGTACCTTTTGTGGCAACAGGAGTTTGGGTGAGTTTAAGTACTCCGCTGCCTCACTGTTCAATGCTGCGGTTTGAAGTTTACTGCAGCATCTTTTCTAAGTAAAACAGCCTCTGTTGTCTGACTTTGCCAGTTTTACAGACATGGATGAAATAAAGTCGAGGACTGAAAGACAACCAAGAAAAGTAGTTTGTGTGATTACACCGATAACGATGGTTGTCTGAATAACTCCTCTGCTATCAACCCTGCCCCGTATAATAACCAGAATGTAATGACTCCAACTTCTGTTGCGCTTTTATAGCCTCTAAAATACTTCTAAATTGTCCTTTGCTTAATTACAGCAGTAATTGTTTGTCACTTTGTGTGTGTGTGTGTGTGTGTGTGTTTGTGTACTGCAGATGTGAAGTTGCTGCTTCCAAGCTGTTGCGTTGTAGTAAACTGAAATAATTAGTAGAATGGTGTTTGACAAGGAACAATATAATTAATCTCTCACACTGAATTATAATCTGCTGACATTTCACATTTCTTAATTTTGAATTACTTTGCAGTAATCATCGCGCCCACTTTGCTGTGGATGGTTCTTAGTGTTCAGGTCGGAGGTTGTTCTCACCGTCAGCTCCAGCAGTTCGTTGAGTAGTCCGTTGCGTTTGCTGTGGAGGAAGGCGTTGACGCTGCCGGACTTGGATATTCTTATCCTGGCCAGTCTGGCTTTCTAGGCGTGGGAAGAAGAGGAGGTCACAGCATCAAACAGGGTGGGCAGGAGGTCACAGAATATGACTAATGCAGTATTAAATGGTGAGAAACTGCCGACTCATGAACCAAGTTTTGTAGTAATTGAGAACAGTATAATGCATGAGAACAGACCTCTAAATACACTACTCCTCAACATACACTACTGGTCAAAAGTGTGGAGACTGGATTCAGTGGCAACTATTTAAATCACCGGTTTATCTTATTACATCATGTTATTGTTCAGGCAAAAGAACATATGGTGTATTATAAAACCATATTAAGAGCCTTGCTTGAAGATGTCACCTTGAGAATTATAAACCAATGGATACCATTTTCTTCTCTATTTTCTGACATTTCTTAAATTATATAACTAATTGATAATTGTCAAAGACAAAAGAAATATGGAAATTAATTGTCAAAAAAGATGAATTAATCATGAAAGTATTCGTTAGCAAACGCCCTAATGAGGACAGGAGTGTGCACGTTTTTACCAGATGTAGTGTTGAAGGGACAAAAGTAGATTTTCCAATAACAACTCACTGAAACAAAAGCAGATGAATCTCCCACAATGAATTAATACTGGTTTTTGGGACTGTTTTTTTTCTTTCATTGAATGATTCTGTTATTCTAAATTGCCGTTCATTTCTCTCCACTACACTGTACAGTAAGGCCAACAACCACTTTGTGGAAGCTATTTAGGATCCAAATGAAGAATGCCTCTTTGAAGCTGCAATTTCTTTTTTTGCGTGAGTCCACAATCTAAAAGATTTCAGTTTGATCCTTCAAATGTCGGGTAATGAAGATTCAAACTAAACCACAAACCACAGGAAAAATATAACCGCAAAACCAAACAAAGCCCAACTGCTGATGTCGTCTGTCTGCAACTGAGTTATAACTAATGGACGATTTACTGCATTAGTGGTGATTCTGCCCATAAGAGGCTGACGAGTTTGCACCTGTCTGCTGAACATAAAATTGTGTTAAACTGCAAAGCCTGTTTCCCAGCTCCTCTTTGTCTACAATGAGGCGTAGTAAAAAAAGATAAATGTGATAACTCCTCCAACAGAGAGATGTGATTACTGAACAGAGCGACGGTGAGAGAGAGAGAGCCAGACAGGAAATGAGAGAGAAATCCGATTGGGAATTTTTTGAAATGAAGAGGATATTAGGATGACTGTATACGATATACGGCTGCGTCAAGTGCTCCTGGACACGTAGGGTGAGAGATTTATTTAACCTTGTGCTGATGCTCTCTCTCTCTCTCTGATAAATGCATTTCAGTTAAGGGAGACAGGAGGAGCAATATCTGCTTCCCAGACGTGAATAAGAAGTAATGGAATTACTTCAGAAATTGTCCGTCAGATCGTAGATACCTGTGAAGGTGTGAGGAATGCTGGAGACTCATGATGCAATGATAATAATTGTGTTTGTACGTGCACAGTATGTCAAATGGAGAGAAAGAGGTGGAAAAAAAAGAGACAGCCATTAACTTCTTCTCTCTACGCAGCTTCAGCTAAAGTGTGAATGAGTTTGAAAGGGAAAGAGCTGTCGTTGGCTGCCTGCGTTTCTTATTGATCAAAAGCTCGACTTGACACGAGAAAAGAAAAAAAATATATGAAAGAATAACTAACTCTGATCCTATTGATGTGGTGATGGGTATTTCATCCTCGCTGATCGTCCGCTGAGCCCAAATGGTTGTCTCAGGAATCTTTACTCTGAGCTGATGAAATTCTGAATTTGTTTAGAGTCCAGAGGTCTGAGCAAGTCAAGTTTGGTGAAGTCTTAAGACCAGGGGCGCCTGTTCTTCAGCCCCCCCAAATAATTTGGCATTATTGGCTTTAAAAACAAAAAAACATCTTTTTTTTTGGTGATGTCATTAAATTAAACTATTGTTTCTCACATGGACAAGTTATTTATAACTCTGACATGCTACATCTGTGCGTGCGTTCTGGTTTGTATGTTTTCTCCCCCTTCAAATTACAATCCAATAGCCTATCATCATACTGAACGATATAAAGTTGACACCGTCAGGTCCATTCACCATCCATTGTGTGCGGCCCCTTTAAGAATTAGGATTTGGGAGTGACGCGGATATGAAAGCTAGTTTATCCGTCTTTCCTTTACAAGTAGAAAATTATTTCTCTCTCTTTATTTGAGAAAAGTTCATATTTGTGTTGTCAAATTTCACTATGACCCTGAAATTCTGTCTCTTGTGTTATCATATACTGAATGCAAGTAAAACTACAGAGCAAAATCACACTCTTTCTGATTGAACCAATCTATGAGCTGTCTGAAACAACTGATATACCCCAAATGGGCCCCAAAAAAATTGTCGTGCGCTGCGCGCGCAAACATTCCACTCCCCTTGGGGATTAGCCCCCCCTTTCATTGAATCCTAGAAACGCCCCTGCTTAAGACACAAGTTTTAAGTCTGATACCAAGCCAAGTCCAGGTCCATGTCATCATCAAGTCTCATGTCAAGATGTAAAGGATGTGGCTGGTGTTTAATACTTTTCTTTTCTGTCAAAAACATTACATTGGGATAGTTTGTCCCTCTCAATGCTTTATGACTTGTCTCGCCTTGCTGTAGCTCTCACCCCCAAGCCTGTGCGTTCCAACTGAAGAAGTCAATTATTTTTAAGGAATAGTCCCGTAATTGTTTTGTATGCAGCATTGTCCAAAATGTCCCTACTTTGAGTCCTTAATGTGGGTTTAGCTCCAAAGATCCTGGATCATACATGTCCCATTTTGCAACCAATAGCATCTTTAAGATATACCCTTCCTGCTTGGTAATTGTCTCCATCTATCAAACACAGGCTTTCTGTTATAAGGATGGCGTCTGTGGGATTGGCTGAAATAAATTACAGTGCCCATGATCACAGTAATGAAGGAACATTTCCCCCAAGTGCAACTATATATGTCGCATTGATGTGTTTCTGGGCAACAATTGAGGTTGATGAGGAAGTTTTTCATGTCTGGCGAAGTTCTTTGAGGTAAATTATAGTCTGTTCAGAGACTGGCCTAATGGAGCTCCTCGACACTCTGTTCAAAGCCCGGTGATGATGGATTCTTGTGATTTTTTTTTCTTTCTGTGGGCTAGTTGACCGAGAAAATCAAGCCTACTTGCTCCAACGTTACCACCCTCAGTCCAACAGTCAGACAGCCAGACTACAGCAGTCCAGGGAAAAAGCATGAAATGTTCAGCTCGCAGACAAGTGAGCCTTGAAACTGCTGCATATAGAGACCTTTTCTTTTTTTCCCCCTCTCTTTTACCCCAATCAGCCTCTCTCCCGCTTCGCTTTCTCTGACCGTCTCCTTTGTGTTCTCTTTCTGCTTTTTGCTTCTTGTCCGACCTCCTTCTCTCTTTCCTCATTTTCTCCTGTCATCCTGTTTTGCCCTCACGTCTCCGGTCATTTTTACTTTCTTCAACATCCTGCCATATCTCAGTGCAGCTCCACTTGACATCGCTCTCCCATTACCGGTGTGACCTCAGTCCATTTACTGCCTCGACGTTCACGACACTCTGATGGTGACTACGCTGCACCGCTTTGTCGTGCAGTGATAAAAAAAAGAAAAACCTGTCTTCTTCTTCTTCTTCTGGGGAAGTTTTCTTTTTGAAAACCTCAGGGAATTAGGCGCATTAGTATCAGGGGTTGTTTCACAGACTAGTTATGCCATCTGTGGGTGACTGAACATGAAGAGGAGACACTGCGCTCTACACCGAGGCCCGCACACACACACACACACACTATAAAGTAGTTAGTAGGGAACGACTATCATTACATCTAATTTAGATTCTCTACTTTCTATTTTCTGACTGTGAAGCTACAATTGGTACATGAGAAGACCTTTTTGTACAGTCAAATCCCCAGATGACTATATAATTGTAATGGGAGCCTGGAGCAGCCTGTTGTTAGAGAAGAATGAAGACGAATAAGACCTAGAGAGGAAGGTAAGGCCAGGAGAGATGGGGTAATGGAGAGAGGGAGAGCGAATGAACAGGGTTAAAAAAAAATCTTTTTTATATATAATCTTTCCTACTTTTCTTCCTTCTCTTTCTGTTCACAAACTCATACTATCAGGGGAAACAACTGGCACATGTCGCTATAAAAGCGGTTTTATGTGAATTGGTAAATAAAATTGCTCACAGGTGCACGGTAAATGTGTTGGTGACTTGCTAACCTTTTACAGTTGTGGGCATAAATACAAGATAAGAACAGACAATTACTCAAACCAATCCAGCAAAGCAGCTCCTGCCGGCAGAGCTCCAGGTCTCCATTGTACTAACAAAATGTACTTTCCTGTCGTGGTGAAACATTCTCACTAAGAAAAAAATGATGCACCTTTTCAACTGCTTGTGTATTGTAAAAAAAAGTCTTATTCTGTCTGTCTGTCTTACTAAGAAATTATAAAAAAACAACTCTAGTACTGGGGTTCACAGTTGATTATATACTTTGGAGACAGCAGTTGAGAAAACCATCTTGCAACAAGGGCGATCCTGTAACTGTAGCTTTTAATTATAGATGTTATAATTTTGTTTTCCTGATCTCTTTCAGAACTTCTTAACCATGGTGGCTTAAAAACTGTTGCTGCTGTTTCCAAGGTCAAAAACAAACTTTGAATTTTTTGCATTTATAGCAGCTATTGCTCTAAAGCGTCTTTCAGCTGTAAAAAAATACAGCTTGCAGCACAACCGTTCTGGTTCACAACAGATGGCTGAAAACCCCACTATATTCTACCTGCCCAGCACCAAACTACAAACAAAGTTTACTAATCTGTTTGAGTAAATGCTGTAGTGTGACTATGTGTTATAGTCTGACCACTCACTGCCCAATCTGTTCACTTTACCGATTCAAAGAGGAATAGCAGGGATTAGTGCTAGTCTATATTAGTTAGTTTGTAGGACATCAGGCCAACGTTGGTCTTAAACATTTTAGAAACTTGTGCATCAGTGTTTTTCATTTCTGGTCCCCCATGAAATTTCCATTTAACATCTCAATGTTTTTGTAAACTAATTCCTCATTTACAGTGGATTATGTATCACTAATTTAAACGGGGCGGATAAACCAGAGGAGACACTAACTCTAAAATAACTTCATTAGAATGATTTTTACTGAGGAGTTTTACTTTCCCTTCGTGGTCTAAAACATGTTTTACAAATACTGCTAAAAATGACTAAAATGAAACGGTTCCCTCGGGGGAAATGTTAAGATCCGTATAAAACAATAGTTTGCACACGATCACACAGTGCTAAATGACCAACAGAGATGCTGCTGGAGTGCAGATTCACCAGTCTTGAACAAGGTTGTTTGTTGCTGTTGACTTACTTCAACTCAAGAAATGTTTCTGTATTTGAACATAAAAACATCTGTGTGGCTGATTGGTCAGCAATTAAATGTTAATTTGGGTTATGAAATGTTTGGCAGAAGATGAGTCTCAAAAATAAACGTCTTCCTGAGATACTATTCAGACAGACGTCTGTCCTCGCAGCACTTTTGGTCGCTCCTGCTGTCAGTAGCTGTTGCTAGGCAACAGTTCATTCATGCACACATACAAAAATCAATATTAGAACGATAGTCGATGAAGAGGTATTAAGGATACGTTTTAAAAGCGTCAAGGAAAAAATGTAGAAATCTTATTTGCCCACATTTTCTGGTCCTGTCCTGTTTTGAAAATGTATTGTTTTCTGTAAAAACTTTTTTCCATCTATGTTTTGAAAATGACGAGGGAGGTCGAGGAGTGATGGAAAGTGAGAGAAAGACCTGTAAAATTATATGAATATGAATATTTAAATGAGAGGACTAGATGTCATCGTGCCAAATGCCTAATAGCATTTTGTGAAGATTATCATGTTGAACAAAATGCTGCAGAGTATATTTTCTTCAAATAGGGAAGCAGTACGATGCTAATTTCCAGGTTGGCTTACAAAAACTGGTCGTCCCTGCATCACTCTATTATTTTTGATTTAATAAGATGATGGTGTGTTTTGTTTGTTTCTTTCCTATTTACATTGGTTGTGTCACGATCATACCTCACATCTTGGAAAATAAAATAAAACATTACTATAAATGACATTACTATTTGCAGTGTGAGTTAGGTTATTACTTAAACGTTTTATTACTCATAAGTGGGACATTTCATTGGCTTATAATAACGGTTTAATAAAATGGTTTTAGTGAATTATCCATTATGTGTCTATTTTCAAGACATGTGTTAAAAATGACCATCATTAATGTGTTTTTTTCTTGATGGTATCTAAACCTTTGACCTGTTATTTCTTTGTTATTTCTGCTGATTCAAAGCAATATATTAATAAGAAAACCAGACACAAAGGATTTTCATATCGCTATGGATTTAAACCAGACTTCTCCCTCCTCAATTAGCTATCAGCAGCTGCTCTCTAACTTAATAGCTCTCTTATCTAGCTCCGCAGAAAGGTCAAGCCCACTGGGTGAGTGTAGTGAGTGGATAGCGAACATTTAGTACTTGGATTTAAAGTGTTCGTTTGAGAAAGAGACAGATAGGGAGTGTGTGCATGTGTGGAAGGATGTTGAATAATGTAGGTCTGAAGGGCAAAGAAATGTCCTTTGTGTGTGTGTGTGCGAGGGTTTTGAAAAATGTGGATTGATGTAGGTGGAAGGACAGATTTACAATGCAGATGTACAATTCAATTGGGGTCAATTATTTTCAGCATCACCTTTAAAAAAAAAAAAATGTTTTATCCGTCCTCATTCATCAAGATCATTTAAGCCTCTGTCATTATTCTTTATCTGAATATATGTACAGTATATACACACAATATTTATATGAAAAAAAGGGTTTCCATGCTTAACCATTGGTGTACAACGACCCAGCACTTTTTATTCAACACGTCAACCTGCCATTCATGCTCCCTCCATAACGTGATAATATCTAATAATCCTGTGACATTTTTTGACAATCGCAAGCTTGAACTCCTCTCTTTTGTGAATGTGCGCACACTTCATCAAAACAACACTTGTGTTTTGAACATTGAATCTCACTGTTGGAGCAGAAGGGATGAAATAAAGACACTGACTTTTACCTTCTGAGCGCGGCGTTTGTCGGCTCTCTGGTTCTGGTGGTAGATGCGACTGAAGTTAGACACGATAACTGGGACTGGCAGAGCGATCACCAGCACGCCACTCAAGGAGCAGATGGAGCCGAAGATCTTCCCGGCGATCGTCTTTGGCACCATGTCTCCGTACCTAGAAACGAGACAGACTAGGTGGTGACAAAGTGCTGAAATAGATACATGGTGTTGACTTGGTACACAACGTATGTTTCCATTCACGCGCGTTCATGGCCATTTTCAATTTCACCATGAAAGAACTTAGTGGAAATGCAAGAGAAGAAGTCTCTGCATGTTGGATGAGACAGAAAAGGTGGCATATCGATACAGAAAAAGTTGTTTTAGAATACACCTCAACATAAGACGGACTGTAGACAAAGCATTTGTATCAGCTTAACACTTATCAGAAAGGTCCAAAAACGAATTAATTTCCGTCATGTACCAAAGCATCAAACCTACTGGTGCTCAATTCATTATGTAATCTTGACACATCCTCTTATATGGGCGAACATAATGACACACAGCTCCATCGCCATACACAACGAGCAAGGTTTACCTATTCCAGCAGGGCTCATAAGCATTTCCCTGATCTGACTTTGGCAGAGAGCACTCCCTATTTTAGAGCACTATATTTACTTTGTGTCATTTAATTTCAATGTGTTTTGCCAGCAATCCTACCGCACATGCACTGTATTTAATGAGCGCGAAAAAAATCACACTGTGAAACACTACTACGCCTGTCAGTGAGGACACAAAGTAGTCAAAGTATGGAGTTAAACCTGCATTAAGTGACTTTTTTTGGGGGCCGTTTGGTGGCAGCTGAAACAAGCTGTAAACACATCACAGACATCACATTTTGTTTAATCCAAAAATATAATTACAGCAGCTTTAACTATTACATCTCCTTTATGAGAATACCAGTGAACGGCATTCTAACCACATTTTAACTCCTGTTCTCAGCTTCCGTCCGATAATTCGATTACACAGGTGACTGGCTGCTTTAACAGGTGGACAGAGGTGCAGAGATAGGACCACTGCTATCTTTGCAGCTCAGAAGAGGCATAACAAAGCCATGCCAGTGGGATCCACGGCCAGGAAGAAGCCAAGGTTGATGCGCTGGCCAAAGCTGTGGGCCATGATGGAGTTTAGTGGAACAAATTGATTATTAAATACAGACTTCCAGGACGAGCTTGTAGGCAGGTGGGAAATGACACTGAAATCGTCTCCTGGAGAGGCCGCTGACATCAAATTTAAGTATTGTGATGTGAAGCAATGGGAAACAATGTTTGCTGGTGCTTGAGGGAAAGACAGAGTAATTAGATCAGCATTTCACCGAGGTTGAGAACTTTGGGGCTGGTTCGGCTGTTCCTGCTGTTATTTCTTCTTTCTAAAACAGTGGTGAAAAACACCAGCAGCAAATGTCAGGAGTTGAGTTTTCATTAAAACCAAATTATGACTGGTGTGTTAACTGCATGCCAAATGAATCAGAGCACAGAAGGCCAAATTACCTCCTAAGTAACCATATGACCAGTTGCTGATGAGCAACTATTTTTAAAAACTGAGTCCTGCACAGTGCTCACACCGCAGAAAAACACACTTACATCACTTACAACAAACTTCACAGAGAACAATTAGGGCAAAAAACAGCATCACTGATGTGTTCTAACCGAATATTATCTGTTCTAGCTCAGCTACAATCAAAAAAACAAAGAATTCTTCGGCATGTTAGTGAGTTGCTCACTACCGAGCCTGTTTGTAAATAGGCTACGGTCAATGTTATCTTCTTCATGTCACCTTTCTCTGCTCTGCTCCACTGTGTGTGTGTGTGTGTGTGTGTGTGTGTGTGTGTGTGTGTGTGTGTGAGGACAGGCTAAGCCCTTCACTCGGTGAAACACCAGAGCAGAGGACGTTAATGATGATTAATGACTAATGTGTACAATTTTAGCAGAGGCGCTCATAATTCTGCAGCGGCACACCTGAACATCAACCTGTACAGCCAGGTGGTTTGTTACACACAACCATCTGAGAAGCCGTAGTTGTAAATAGTTTGGAAAAGGACGGGCACTTTCGAAAGCCCCCCTAAAATAGGCCTAACGACGCCCCTGCCGTGCACACCTAAACCACGGCCGTAGCCGCTCACAGGACGCTGATGGGTCCGTGCTCTGGCTCACTGGACACAACGCATCAGTTGAAGATATGTGATCTTGCGACTCTGCCGTGCAAGGTAGCCTAAATATAGGTGCAACGCTGAGCAAGATGAGTGAATATTCTGCATAAGACACTGTTCTAGTAACCACAGTCCTCAACGGACCGTTTTCCTCAAGGGCTACTTTAAAAAACGGATCGAGCATAGTGGTTAGATTTTGATCCTCAAAGCTTCTGTGAAACACTTGCTCTTGTTCAGAGAGCTCTTTTTTCTCCTCTCTGGCTGTTTGGCCTCGTTGGCTCCTCTGAATTTCCTCTCCACTGCGTTCTCGACACAATGAGACTCTTGACAGGTAAGCCCCATGCACTGTTGACCACTGTGTCTCCTGAGGGCCGCTCTCTGCCCAGACGAGGGTGGTTGCTAGCTTTCCACTTTTCAGACTGTTTTTTTTTTTGGTGGGGGGCCCAAAGCATGCTGAAAAGCGCTTTAATCGCTGGACTTACTACCCACAAACTGATGAGCTGGGGATTTATCACAAACCCGGCCTTCTGCTCTGCCTGAACAAATATGCAGGAGAGGGAAGAACGTGCTATTGCTCAAATCCATTTTTAAAATTACTTTTTAAAATGATTTTTCTGTCAAAGTAGAGAGGAGCACAAATGATGCAGACCACAATTAATGAAAAATTATTTGAACGGACTATAAATTGACTGTTTTTGACTTTTTTTCTATTCATGACGGACAACACATTAGTCCAGCAAAAATTATACTTAAATCGACAAGTGGGAAACTTCCAAATACGATGGATCTCAAAGTTATTAATCATGTTTGCAGTAATAAAAGATTATATTACTATATTATGGTAGAAGTTTTTCTTATATTGTTTGAAAACTCATAACAGTCTGGCTGTTTGAACTGCAAGCACAGAAGGCAGAGTCAGAAATATGACAGATTATTAACAAGCGATGGAGATTTGACCACAGAGCTTGTAGTTATTGTCCTGCTCCTGGCTGCCGGACAATCAGACAAATGATTTCACAGCTCTCTCTGCTCGCTGTCTGTCAGCTGATGAGAGATGGCATTCTCTCGGCTGTGTCTTTGACTGCTTTGTTGTCATACTTTGACACTTCATACCCACTGTGATGTGTTAAACATCATTAGAACTGTGATACGGTGGAATACGCAAAACTTTGCTCTTTGCAGTGAATGAGTTCACAACAGGGTGTCATAATTAAAGGATATGGACCGACATTAAAGCACTTAAATGCATAAATGATGAATAGTTAGTTAGATTTTATCTCAGGCAGCAAAATAGATCATTCTGGAGCTGGCCTTTCATTCGCAGCAACCACTTTCTCCCATTATACAATTTGAATTTGAATTGCTGATAATTTGATTTGATCAATCTTATATTAAAAAAATAATCTGCCACTGCCTGAACCTTTGTACCATGCCACACAGATGCTACGCCATTCCACAAGATGCTGCATCAAGTACGTGCAAGGCCACATTCCTAGTAGGTGACTGCGTGTCCTGAACACGGTGTTTCTGCTGTTTTATTATTATTTTAGCTGAGGATCATTGGGGTGAAAGATAAAATAGCTGCTGCGACGATAATGAGTTGTTTAATAGTATTACACATGTTTTAGTGCATCTGTCAATACTTTTACGGTTAAAACTCACTAGTAAACGTTGTTTAATTTAATGAATATGTAAAGTATGAAGTACAAAATAATTGGATGAAAATTAATATGTATATGTATAAGAGTGAAATTAAAATGAAAAAATCGTAAGGGTGGGGGGGGCCCCATATCTACATCCCCCTACTTCCGGCACCCTTGCTAGACCACACCAATATTCAAACTCAGTCTTCATATGGACTCTCTGGTGCCACAAATACACACACATGTCTCATCTGTTTGTATGGATTTTCTCATCTCAATTTTTTAGGCTGATGTGTCATGGCTGATGTGTCATGGCCTTTTTGCCTGTTCTGTATGTGGTACATGTAATTGTGCATTCTGTAGTGTTCTGTGTGACATTTCGGCTAATCCCATGCCTTTATTTTGCAAACAGATCTACAAATTTGCATCAGTTTCACACAGCAGTGAGCAGCTGCAGAATGAAATGTCAAGAGTAAGAAACTTTCGCTCATTGAGATTTTTAGGATTAATTAGGGAGTCAATGAGTTTGTGTATAAATAATGCAAAACACTGAAGGTCAGGAAGGTGCTCGTCTCACAGATTTAGTGAACGCATGGTTCGCCTCGATGACAGGATAAGAACTGTTAACCTTTTCAAATCAATACACTGATATGTGCTACCACGAGAAACAGGCATAGTATAGAGTAAATTAAGTAAATAATGAATTATTATAGAACATCCTGAAAGAGTAGTTAAACGATGCAACAAGGCACGAAACACAGCAGTGGGGCTATTACACCGTTAAGTGGTCTTCTACAGGGATTCATTACTTTGCTTTTCCCATCTGCCACAGTTTGAAAAAGAGGCCTAAGCGAGTGGAAAAATCTATTGTGAGGGAATTTATTCAGTCATGTGTTTTATCTTTTCCAATCTCTTGCTTTTTTTGCTCCTCATTATAAGAAACTCAGCTGTAGCTACCACAACACGGGAAAGGAACAGCATGACACAAATTGTAATAAAATAAATACCCTCTAATACCACAAACTTGCATTGCAAACCCAAAGTTGCTTAAGATCACAAGAGCACACAGACTTATATCGTCAACAGAAAATGATGTTATTAGGAGGGTACTCTTAATAACAACTGCACATTTGAATGAAAACTCTCTGTTTCTTTTGCAGTGTTTAACAGCAGTGACTAAATCTTATCAGAGTTCAAAGCTCAATGCTTCATTTGATATTTCTGTTGAAAGCTGGTGCACAATTTTGAATTTGAGTAAGATTAAACATCACCTCATACACTTCGCTTCCCCCGCAAGTAAAGTAGCATTCAAAGGTCAAACACCTC